GATGTTTTTTCGTTTCAAACATTAATTTTGAGACCCAGGTAGACAAAGCATGTGGCCCCAAACAGTGTTATTTTTTTCAATGTCTGATGTCACTGACTTGACTTTATCTTTAATGGTGTTTTTTTCTTTGTTTCAAAATTATGTTTTCTATTACTTGGCAAGTCCTGCTATTGGGCAAAATTAAGAAGTTTGTTCGCATGTTTTGAACTCTGTAGTCTTTCACGGTGCTCTTCTTTTCTTAAATTATGCACAACTGAACCTACTATGGTAAAAAGATCGGGAACCCACTCATACTAAAATGTAAATAGATTTCATCTCAAAATGCTACATCTGTGAATGAATTTGCTATTTGTCAGAGAAGAATTTGCTATTTGTCAGAGAGCCAGCCTCTCAAGTAAAATCACACACACACACACACACACACACACACACACACACACACACACACTTATAGGAGGAATACATGTTTTATTGTTACTTTTGATTTCTTTGCTAGGCTTCCCAGGCAGCCATCTTCTTCTCCTAAAACACACGAGTCTCGCACCCTGCTCTTAGCCCATACGATAGCATTAAACTTTATCGATACCAGAACAGCATTGGGAGAAATTTAAAACTCCAAATTTTAAGGAACTTATCAACAAGCAAAAGCATACATTTACAAAACAACATTTCGGTTGTCTTTTATATAGCAGTTATTTACTAATGTGTTCACCATCTTTGTTGACATTGTATTTCTTTTTATTCTTGAGAGAAAGGTAAATCATTAATTTTTTTGATAAAGAAATTAAGCCCAGTCTTAGGTTATTGAATTAATGAAATTGTATATTTTTCTAGCAAAATTTCGGACTGATTCTCATTTTCAATCTTTGCACCAAATCTTTGAGGTAGGCAGAGATCATTATTTCCAAAATATATATTCAGAAACTGAGGAACAAGGTCACCAGTTTCTCACTCTGCTGAAAAGTGGCAAAGTGAGATGAGACTACAAGCCATTCTCTCAATTTNTTGTGAAATGGATCATCCAGAATGATCACGTGCATCAGAACAGCAAAGCCAAGGGGAGGGTGGGCAGTCTCCCTAAGCCGTGGCCCCTGCCATCCGTCACTACCACAGACAGAGAGGAGATGGCCCTTTAATAGAAATTGGCTAATTTTTTTAGAAATATCTATTAGGTCCGCCCTTCCTGAATGGCTTCTCCATTAAAATTTGATAAATGAATTCTGCCATTGCCAATTCCAGCCTGTCCTTCTTTCCCTTAATGAAATGAAGATGCGTCATGCTGGCGAGCACTCAGGACAGAGATAATTATTCATAGGATGCTGGAAGTGCTGCAGTCACCAAGCCCGTTTCTGCCCCGCAGATGCTGGAGATGAGACCTTCAGAAGCCCGAAAGGTTTTTGAATAAAGATTTATTTTCATTTTACTCAAGAAGAAAAACGCCTATGAGTTTTCACAGTCTTCCTTTTAATTTTTCCCCTTATTTTTCCCCCACCTCAGATAAGTGTATATGCATAGAAATTAAGTGTGCATGCATATAAGTTTGTCCCTGTCACTTACTGATTTTAAATTTTAAATAAAAATCTTTTCAATTAAATTAAATATTGATTGAAAGTTGAAGTTTTTTAAACAATATACCTCTAGGTGGCTATATTTGTATGATGTTTTTTCGTTTCAAACATTAATTTTGAGACCCAGGTAGACAAAGCATGTGGCCCCAA